TAAGTGTGTCCGAACGCTAGCTACGTTTAATCTTTAAGTAAAGCTTGTTTATAGCACATATTCGCGCTTCAACCTTGACGCATATCTCTACTGACATTCATAATGACGTCTGCAGACCAGATATCATTCTAATATATGTGTGCTTAGAGTACCTACTGTTTTAAGCAAATGCGTGCGTAAATACGTGTCTAAATAATGCTGACGCAGGAACTAGTAGACCCATCTATACAGTTTTGAGACATCCTTTGTAGTTTTTTGATGTTCCTCTTCCAAATAAAGAGGCACACCTACAAATTCCCCTTAAGTAAGCCGAATTAAAATTTCGAAAGTTATTTAGGCTGAAAAACATCCCCTTGGATGAAGGCTGTAATAGTTTCTATCACGCAACATAATCCCAATATAGTTCACACATGTTAGAATTACAGTCTTTGAGTGGATGGGAGCAGCAGTGTGGGAGCAGGAACGCGGACTTCGGATTCATCTATCACACTCCCTCCCCTACATTGGCCTAGTTTCATGACCAAGGCAAAAAGACCGGAGACAGGAGAGGACGCAGGTGGTTGGTGCGGACGGACGGACGGAGCCGCCCCTACGCATGCCGAGACACCTGGCTCGGATTCCACTGAGCGGGGGCTGACTATGAACATTTATAACGCACGCAACTACTCTCAGGTAAGACGTCACTGAACAGGATTTTTGGAAGAACGGCAGGGGCACGTGGCCCATGCGCTTTAGTTAAATTCGCCGAAGAGAAATAGGGCCCAGGGAAGCGATTTCTAGTCCAACAAAAACGATTGCAGTGTCCCAGAGACAGGTTAGGGGTGAACCGAAATCGAATAAAAGTTTCGGAGTATAACAAAAGAAATCGACATACAGTAGTCGCCGGCTATTAAGTCCACGGTTAATAAACCCAGCCGCCTATTAAGCCGAATTTGGTCTGGGCCCAAAGTTGGCTTAATAAACGGCGACTACTGTACTAAGCCCACGATTAATAAGCCCAGCCGC